ACCATGAATGAGCTTGTCTAGGATGCTGGGACAGGAATAACTGAATGGCTGGCCCGGGCCACAGCTCCTGAACTCTGCTATGGGCAATCCAGGACACACTCCTACCCTCTGTCACCAGGAGCTGCAGGGCTCCTAGGATGTCCTGGAGACTCTGCTCTAAATGATCCACCACTTCATGAATCCATTTGATACCAACCGCTTAAGGTCTACTGAGTACCAAAGGCAGGGGGCCACGTGTCTGTGAGACCAGCCTTGCCTTCAGGAGTGCCTAGATTAGTAGGGGTGTGCGAGGAAGGCTTTCCCATGATGGGACATCTTGGGCGCAGACCGACAGGTCAGGGAGAAATGAGAACCGATCCACACTAAAGGGTCAAGTTCGAACACCAACTAACCAGGCGTCATGTGCTGCAAGGTGAATATCGGACGGTAAATATAATTATATTCACATGAGCTCGGGCCAGGCTGCATCAACAAAAGTGAAACTACCTGGGAGCTGTAATCAGCATGCACGCCTCCTCTCAAACGCAGCGCGGCGCTGGGTAGGGGCGTCCCCAGCCTTCCCCCGACCCCGCCCCTGGAGCCGCCGGTTGATAGCCCGCGGGCCGGGCCTCGGGCGCCACCTGCTGGTCGCGCTGCGCAGCGGCAGCGGGACCCCAAGCGCCGGAGCGCGGGTCCCAGCGATGCCAGACTTCGCGCAGCGGGCGGCGTTTCCAGATACCGCTCCCGGTGGGAGCCTAACCCCGACGGCTGGCGACCTTGGGGGACCAGTCCTGGGGTAGGAGCAGGAGGCCGGGTCAGTGTTGCTTAGGGGGCCCGCCTGCCCCCTCGGGAGCTGACGCTGCGGTACCGCACGCCCTTGTGGGACAGCCCGCTCCGGGCCCGTGTAGTTTCTTGGGGTGGCGGGACGGAGGGAGGAGCCTGTCAGGGTCCGAGCCGGGGCAGTGGAGGGGGAAAGTAGTGGGTGGAGCCTAAGGAGGAGCTGTTCCTGCGCTGTCCCTCGCCTGCCACTGGCCCCAGCTCACCTCTCGTCCGGAGAAATGACGGGCACGCCTGGCGCCGCTGCCACCCGGGATAGCGAGACTCCCCAGCGCTCCCCGCCCTGCAGTCCGAGCTATGACCTCACGGGAAAGGTGGGTGGGCACTGCGCCCAGAGATGGGGACTCCCGTGCCTGCTCTGAGGGCCACCCCTCCCGCGCCCTTCGCCCTGAGACCTTGGCGTTCCCGGACCCAAGAGCCTTTCTGGCTGCGTCTGCTTTGGACTCAGCCCTTCCCTCAGGCTGCAGAGTGGGGAGGGAGGGTCGAAACACAGCCCCTGGGCCCATCCCAATTTCCAGGGATCTGGGATGGCTCATCTGAGACTGGAAGAGGAAGGTCGGAAGTGACTCCCCATCCCAATTTTCTTCTGCCACACGCCAGCTAATCCGAGCCCCCGGAAATCCCATGCTTCTCGGCAAGGGTTAACTCTACTGGGTACAGGCACCCGAAGTACTAAGAAATAGGGATGCCTAGACACCCAGAGAGGACGCCCCCTGGCGGCCGAGCTACTTGCGGTTAATGCCCTTTTCCCAGCTGAGCTCTCAGCTGAGACTTGGCATCCAGTTTCAAGGCCTTAGGCTCTAAACTCTTTAGCTCCCCGGGTGCCCACCCCCCAAGTCCTATCTCTTCCCCTTCCGCCAGTTTCTCACACCTTCTTCCAGAAAGATGTTGCTAGCCAGAATGCAGGCCCACCTGCGAATTTTTAGAACCCGAGAAAGATCTCAGTGGTTAGTCACAAATTCCCCACCTGGGAGAGCACACCTCAGCTCTCTGGGCCTCCGAGCGTCCGCAGGGTGGCCCTGTACAGAAGCAGGTGAGGGTGGCGGTGGACATTGGTCTGTCTGTCCTCCCTCCGTGCCCTTGGAGCAGGCAAATCCCAGGAACTCTGAAAGAGGTGCAGAAGGAGCGCAGACCCACTCTTCATCTAGGCTTGGGAATAAACGAGGGGGCTATCCTGTCTCATGCTACATGGCCTTGAAGGAGACCTGCCTCTTTCTGTGCCTTGCTTTCCTCCCCACACATGGGGGCTCACTCTCCATAGGAGCCCATGGCCTCCACCCCCATTGTTTCAGAGGAAGCCACTTTACAAGTCACCCGCCCAGAGCTGTTGAGATAGGCGTCCTGTGTGGGCTCTGGGCAGGAAATGGGCCCCTGCGCCTTCTGTGGGAGGGGCACCGCTGAGGGCCAGCCCCCATGCTGGTGGGGACCACCTGACCTCCTTGCCAGACAAGCCAACTGAGCTGTTTGCCTAGGAGGTGGCGAGGCTGGTCCGCTGGTTGTGTTTAGTGGATTTGCCCGGCTGGGTAGGTGGCTGGCATCGTTTGCTCAAGGCAGCTGTGATCTGTCAGGTATACAGGAGCTCACTCTCCCTCCCTCCCTCCTTCCCCCATGGGGGCTGGGACCTAGGAGCCAGGGAGCAATGCAGGCTCCAGAGGGCCGCCCAGCCCTCCATCGTTCCCCGGGGCCAAGCAGCACCTGTGGAGACTTGGCCGCTGGCCTTCACCAGCCTGCGTGTCCCAAGACCACCCCTGGAGATTGAGTCCAGGACAGAATGGGAGGAGGCTGGCAGGAGGTCCTTGGATTGGATTAGAGGGGATGGGGGCTACCAGCAGGCGGTACCCAGTCCTGCACCGCTGTGCTGGAGTCTTAGGTCGTTCACGCCAGCATTATTGGTCCTAGCCATTGACTGACTTTAGAAAGGCCTAGCCACAGTGGAGACCATACCACAGAAGGGTTAAGGAATCGTCCCCAAGTCCCCAGTAAAACATTTATGAGCCAGGACCCCAGCCTTCATACACCTTTTACTGAGCCTCCCACTTCTCCACCAAAGTTAGTTAATCCCAACATCCCAGGCACACAGCAGGGAAGCCTTCGGGCGCCACTGTCAAGGTCAGAGCCTCAAAAATAACTGAAACCTAGTCCCTGCTCGACCCATGATGTGACCAGCACGCTGGGAAAGTGCAGCATTGGGGCCAGACGTCTGTTCTCCGGGATTAAGGAATGACTGGACAGAGGGCTGTCCTCTGCCACCCCATGGCCCCCAGAGAAGGGGAGGAGAGGCTGGCCAGGAGCGGGACACACCCCACCGCCCCACACTCCCTGCCCTGCAGGGGCCCAGTGAT